ACTGCAACCTCTGCCTCCTGGATTCAAGTGATTCTCCCGCCTCAGCCTCCTGAGTAGCTGGGATTACAGACACCTGCCACCACGCCCAGCTAATTTTTTGTATTTTTAGTACAGATGGGATTTCACCATGTTGGCCAGGCTGATCTTGAACTCCTGACTTCAAATGATGTGCCCACTGGCCTCCCAAAGTACTGGGATTACAGGTGTGAGCCATCACTCCCAGCCTATTTTATTTTTGACACAGTCTTTTTCTATTGTCCAGGCTGGAGTGCAGTGATATGATCTATGCTCACTGCAACCTTCCCCTCCTGGGTTCAAGCATTTCTCGTGTGTCAGCCTCCCAAGTAGGTGGCATTTTAGGCACATGACAGCACACCAAGCTAATTTTTGTATTTTTCATACATACAGGGATTCACCACGTTAGCCAGGCTGGTCTCAAACTTCTGACCTCATGTGATTTTCCCACCTTGGCCTCCCAGTGTGTTGGGATAATAAGAACGTGCCACCAAGCCTGGCCTGTTCCATTTATTTTGAATTTAAAAAATTACTTTATATACTTTTTATGGTGGCTTCTGAAAATTTTATAATTTCTTCAATGGGGCCATGTTGCTCTAATATGTTGTATACATTGTAATCTTTGACTGAGATTTGGACATTAACAAGTTACCTGTTACAGGCCGGGCGCGGTGGCTCACGGCTGTAATCCCAGCACTTTGGGAGGCCGAGGCGGGTGGATCACGAGGTCAAGAGATCGAGACCATCCTGGTCAACATGGTGAAACCCCGTCTCTACTAAAAATACAAAAATTAGCTGGGCATGGTGGTGCGCGCCTGTAGTCCCAGCTACTCAGGAGGCTGAGGCAGGAGAATTGCTTGAACCCAGAAGGCGGAGGTTGCGGTGAGCTGAGATCGTGCCATTGCACTCCAGCCTGGGTAACAAGAGCGAAACTCCGTCTCAAAAAAAATACCAAGAACCAAAAAACAAAACCCTATATACCTTCATCAGAACTTGCTTGCAAAGAAATTCCTTGTGAAAAAAAGACAGAACTCAGTCATCCCTCTGAGGCTCACCTGAGACAAATGCAGATCTGGTAGCTTTTTCTACCCTATTGTTTTTGTTGTTGTTTTACTCCTTTCTACCCCATTGTTTATGTAAAATGCAGATGCACTGAGCCAGACTAAATTGCGTATTCAGTGGATGGCTGATCCAAGACTCAAAAGAATGCAACCTTCCGCTCTTAACTTTCGATCTGAAAGCCCCCACCTCTAGTTGTCCTGCTTTCTGGATCAAACCAACATGCCTCTTACACATACTGATGTCTCATGTCTGCCTAAGATGTAGAAAAGCAACCTTGGGCACATGCCTTCGGGACCTTCTGGGACTGTGTCACAGGCCTATCCTTTACATTGGCAGAATAAACTCTATTAATTGAGACCCATCTCAAATATCTTTTGGGTTACACACTCGAGGCCCTGCTACCTAGTGCACCCCAGACTAATGCACCACCGTTACAGGGACTCTGGGGTGTTTCTTTTTTTTGAAGTGGAGTTTTGTTCTTGTTGCCCAGGTTGGAATGCAACGGTGTGATCTTAGCTCACCAGAACCTCCGTCTCCCAGTTTCAAGTAACTCTCTTGCCTCAGCCTCCCAAGTAATTGAGATTACAAGGCATGTGCCACCATGCCTGGCCAATTTCGTATTTTTAGTAGAGATGGGGTTTCTCTCTGTTGGTCATGCTGGTGTCAAACTCCCAACCTCAGGTGATATGTCCACCTTGGCTTCCCAAATTGCTGAGATTCCAGCTGTGAGTCACCACACACAGCCGGGACTGTTTTTGTTGTTTTTAAATAAGGATGGTTTCCTCTGGGTGCCAGGTGGACAGTTGTGTACCTGAGACTTTAGCACTAAGCTCTTGGGGGTTGGGAGATGTTCCAGACACCTGTCGAGACTGTGACTGTTTAAATTCTTTTTTTTTTTCCTAGATAAAGTTTCATTCTTGTCACCCAGGCTGGAGGGCAATGGTGCAATCTTTGGTCACTGCAACCTCTGCCTCCCGGGTTCAGGTGATTCTCCTGCCTCAGCAGCAATGACAAGGGTCGGGCACAGTGGCTTATGCCTGTAATCCCGGCACTTCGGGAGAATGAGGCGGATGGATCACCTGAGCTAGCGTGTTCAAGATCAGCCTGACCAACATGGAGAAACACTGCCTCTACTTAAAAAACACAAAATTAGCTGGGTGTGGTGCGCTCCTGTAATCCCAGCTAACTCAGGAGGCTGAGGCAGGAGAATCCCTTGAACCTGGAAGATGGAGGTTTCGGAGAGCAGAGATTGCACTCCAGCCTGGGCAACAAGAGTAAAACTTCGTTTCACCAAAAAAAAAAAAAAAAAAAAAAGTCTCTGAATTTTTTTTTTCTTTAGAACAAAGTTTCATGAAAGCCAAACATTAGGGAATTGATAGTGAAGAAAAATTGTGCAAATGTAATAAATTGGAAAAACACTTTTTGAAAAACTACAGCTTAGAAACAGTTTTCATACTAGAATATATTTTTGCAGCGGCAGCAAAAGTAAAAAAAAAAAATCCATAATTAAACTTATGCAAATATCAGATAAATTATAGCAGATATATATATACATGTCACTGCCACTTCAGATATACTAAATCAGAGTGCTAAGTATAGGGAATCTAAAACTAATGTTGACAGAAAAACTGTTTGTATATAACAAAGGGGATCAGAAGGTTTTTTTTGCAGTTATAATTACCTCCAAAGTATATTTTTTGAAAAATATTACAGATATTTTGAGAAGTGAATAATGATGTCATTCAACTCTGAAATTATTGTTTCCTGCTGTTTCTTCATTCCTATTGTATTCACATGTGAAAGCAGAGGGTCAATTGTTTCTGCATCAAAGATATGAGAGATTCATTTTTTGTTTTTTGAGTCAGAGTTTCGATCCTTTGCCCAGGCTGGAGTCCCGTGGCATGATCTTGGCTCATTGCAACTTCTGCCTTTCAGCTTCCAGATTCTCCTGCTGCAGCCTCCCGAGTATCTGGGATTACAGGCACCTGCCACCAGGCCCAGCTCATTTTTATGTTTTTAGTAGAGATGTGGCTTCACCATGTTGGCCAGACTGGTCTTGAACTCCTGATCTCATTATCTGACCACCTCCGTCTCCCAAAGTGTTGGGATTACAGGTGTGAATCACTGCAACTGGCAAAAGATTTATTAGGTGGCCATAATTTTTAACATAGAAAAGTAAAGACATTGCCGGCACAGTGACTCATGCCTGTAATCACAGCACTTTGGGAGGCCGAGGCAGATGGATCATGAGGTCAGGAGTTTTAGACTGGCCTGGCCAACATGGTGAAACCCCGTCTCTACTAAAAAAAAAAAAAAAAAATTAGCCGGGCGTGGTTGCAGGCGCCTGTAATCCCAGCTACTTGGAAGGCTGAGGCAGAAGACCCACTGAACCCGGGAGGCAGAGGTTGCAGCGAGCAGGCCACTGCACTCCAGGCTGGACAACAGAGCAAGACTGTCTCAAAAAAAAAAAAAAAAAGACATTACAATGTAACATGCATAATGAAAATCTAAGCAGAGAGGCTATTTGGGGTTAACATATAATATTGAATGAAATATCAGGTAGGTGTTTAGAGTAATATTCTGTATTATCATGAGAAAAAAACTTTAATTTTATTTAAAATTAATAGTATATTTCTGTATTAATTTTACTTTTTTTTTTGAGACGGAGTTTCGCTGTTGTTACCCAGACTGGAGTGCAATGGCACGATCTTGGCTCACCGCAACCTCCACCTTCTGGGTTCAAGCAATTCTCCTGCCTCAGCCTCCCGAGTAGCTGGGACTACAGGCGCGCGCCACGATGCCCAGCTAATTTTTGTATTTTTAGCAGAGACAAGGTTTCACCTTGTTGACCAGGATGGTTTCGATCTCTTGACCTCGTGATCCACCCGTCTCGGCCTCCCAAAGTGCTGGGATTATAGGCGTGAGCTACCACGCCCGGCCCTAATTTTACTTTTATATAATAAAATGCATTACATTGTAGTGTTCGCGCCAAGGGCTTGAGACAGCTAGTTGACTCGCCCCAGTTTGGCTGCTGGACCTGTCTGCATTTCCCCACCTCGAGGGCTGTCGAGTGAGACAAAGGGCCGTGAGCTGACTCACTAAAAGCAACAACAGAATGCAAAGCAAAGGCCTGCAGTTTATGAGGACATTGTGCTGTCTGCTTCCATGTCCCCCTTCAGTCTCTGTGTAAGCAATAAACTTGCTGCAATTGAGATGCCTAAGAGGGGCAGAGACCTCTGCCCATATTTTCCCTGGAGCCAAGCCTTTGTTTTAGCTCCTGGTGAAAAACAGGTTTAACCAGCCACCTTAAGGGCGCCATTGTATCTTTGAAATGTAAAATCTTTGAAATGTAAACTACTATCACTAGCCCCCTTAAACTGCTTCTGAGCGGATATCACAAGCCCCTGATAACTATTTTTTATGGAGTTTCTATTTCCTTTCTGTTTACCCCTTTCTTTCTACTGAGATTAAGTAAATGTAACAAGAAAAGGTATAAAAGCTGTAACCCACAAGAATAAAATCGCTGTGGCTGTCACTTTGGCTGCTGCTGCGCTGCCCAGCCCTCCAGACTCTACTTTTCTATATTCTGTCTCTTCCGCGCACTCTCTCTCTCAGGTTGAACGAGACATCTATGTTGGCGGTCTCGGGGACTCCCGCAGGTTGGTAGTCCCCTGGCAGACGTGCCGGACCCCGACATTACATTTTTAAATTTTATATTGTTTGAAGTTTAATTCAAGATTTCTAACGTTAAGTACTATTGTGCATTCAGTGAAGCGTTATTATGCCTCAAACTTTAACCTCTCCCACCTTGCTTGTGTATAGGTAAAAGATAGTAAGTATATACTATTTAGTAACATGATGGATTAACATCTCTAGTGATTTTTTGTGCCAGTGGCTTTTAACTGCAAATAAGTCAAACAATATTGTTCTCATAGATTGAAAATGTATTGTTTTTAATCACTTATTTGAATTTTTACATAGATTCTTTTTTTCCAGAGTCTTGCTCTATCACCAGGCTGGAGTGCAGTGGCACGATCTCAGCTCACTGCAACCTCTGCCTCCCAGTTTCAAGCAATTCTCCTGCTTCAGCCTCCTGAGTAGCTGGGATTACAGGAGTGAGTCACCATGCCCAGCTAATTTTTGTAGTGTTTTTTTTTTTTTTTTTTTTTTTTTAGTAGAATCAGGGTTTCACCATCTTGGCCAGGCTGGTCTTGAACTCTTGACCTTGTGATCCATGCACCTCAGCTCCCAAAGTGCTGGGAATACAGCCGTGAGCCACCAAGCACAGCAAATTTTGACATAGTTTTAAAAAACTTCTCTGATGTCACTAGTACTGTGATAGAGGTTGCATTCTATCTGTAAATCATTTTGTGTACTACAAATATTTAACCATTAATAATGTCAGTTCATGAATATTTCATTTTGTATTACTTAATTTCTACAATGTTCCTTAGAGTAGAATGTATTACTGTAATAACCAACATGATTTATTTTTTGAGATGGAGTTTCTCTGTTGTTACCCAGGCCGGAGTGCAATGGCACGATCTCGGCTCACCACAACCTCCGCCTCCTGGGTTCAAGCAATTCTCCTGCCTCAGCCTCCTGAGTAGCTGGGATTACAGGCACGCACCACCATGCCCAGCTAATTTTTGTATTTTTAGTAGAGACGGGGTTTCACCTTGTTGACCAGGATGGTCTCAATCTCTTGACCTAGTGATCCACCCGCCTCGGCCTCCCAAAGTGCTGGGATTACAGGCGTGAGCTACCGCGTTCAGCCCCCGATTTCTTTTATGGTTAGAAAAGTTTGAGTTACAGCAGAATTGCCTGAACCCAGGAGGTGGAGGTTGCGGTGAGCCAAGATCGCGCCATTGCACTCCAGCCTGGGTAACGACAGCGAACTCCATCTCAAAAAAAAAGAAAAAAAAGAAAGCTTTGCCACATTCTTCTTTCTTCACATTTGTAGGGTTTCTCTCCAGCATGAATTACCTTATGAGTAGTACGGGTTAAAGATTGTTTAATAGCTTTGCCACATTCCTCACATTTGTAGAGCTTCTCTCCAGTATAACTTTTCTTATATGCAGTTAAGTTGGGGGAACTTTAAAAGCTTTGCCACATTCCTCACATTTGTAGGGTTTCTCTCCAGCATAAATTATGTTTAGTAATGGATGAGGGTTTGTTAAAAGCTTTGCTACAATCTATACACGTGCATGATTTCTCTCCTGTATGAATTATGTTTAGTAATGTTTGAGAATCAATAAAAACCTTTGAGATGTGTAGGGTTTTCCTCCAGCATGAATTATTTTACGTGTAGTCAGGGTTGAGAAGTGGTTAAAGTTTTATCACATTCTTTACATTTATATGATTTCTCTCTGGTATGAATTCTCTGATGTTTAGTAAGGATGGAGGACCAATTAAAGCCTTTGCTGGCTGGGCACGGTGGCTCACGCCTGTAATCTCAGTATTTTGGGAGGCCAAGGCGGGTGGATCACCTGAGGTCAGGAGTTCAAGACCAACCTGGCCAACATGGTGAAACCCCATCTATTTTATTTAAAAAAAAAATTAAAAAAAAGAGCCTCTGCCAGTCTCCACATTTGTAGGGTTTCTTGCCAGCATGAATTACCTTGTGTGTACTAGTGGTTGAGTATCTCTTATCAGCTTTGCCATTCTTCACATTTTATGGTTTCTTTCTAGTATGAATTCTTTTATGTATAGTGAGGTGCGAGTACCGGTTAAAAGCCTTGCCACATTCTTCACATTTGCAGGGTTTTTCTCCACCATGGATTCTCTTATGTCTAGTAAGGATTGAATGTACCCTAAAGGCCTTTCCACATTCTTTACACTTGTAGGGTTTCTCTCCAGTATGAATACTCTTATGTATAATAAGGTATGAGTGTTGTTTAAAATCTTTGCCACATTCTTCACATTTGTAGAGATTTTCTCCACCATGAATTCTCTTATGTCTGGATAGGTTTGAGAATACACTAAAGGCTTTGCCACATTCTTCACATTTGTAGGGTTTCTCTCCGGTATGAATTACCTTATGTACAGTGAGTTTTGGGGAGTGGTTAAAAGCTTTGCCACATTCTTCACATTTGAAGGGTTTCTCTCCAGTATGAAATTTCTTATGTGATGTAAGGTGTGAGAATAGGTAAAAAGCTTTTTCGCATTCTTCACATTTGTAGGGTTTCTCGCCAGTATGAAATCTTCTATGTGTAGTAAGGTATGAAGACCGGTTAAAGGCTTTGCCACATTCTTCACATTTGTAGGGTTTCTCTCCAGTGTGAATTCTCTTATGTGTAGTAAGAGTTGAAGACTGCTTAAAAGCTTTGCCACATTCTTCACATTTGTAGGGTTTCTCTCCAGTGTGAATTATCTTATGATTAGTAAGGGTTGAAGACTGCTTAAATGCTTTCCCACATTCTTCACATTTGTAGGGCTTCTCTCTAGTATGGATTCTCCTGTGTCTAGTAAGGGCTGAGAACCAGTTAAAGACTTTACCACATTCTTCACATTGGTAAGAATTCTCCTTAATATGAGTTCTTTTATGTTGAGTTAGGTGTAAAAGCGTGCAAAATGATTTGTCACATTTTTTACATTTGAAAGTTTTCTTTCCAGTACATCTTGTCTTATGTCTATTTGAATTTAAACGTTTAAGAAAGACTTTCATATATTGATCACATCGAACTATTTCACTCTGGGTAGTTGTCAAACACTGGTTTAGTTCATTATAACCTTCTTTGTACAGATTACACTCTTCCACACTTTCACAGTCTGTAGTTAACTGTAAATCTTCAGTTCCACATTTCCCGTATCTTCTCAACATGACTTCTTGGAAAGAATCTTTTATGCCCTGCACTGGCCAAAGGTCTTGGGCAAGAGGGGGATTTATAACTGAAAGAAATAAAAATAAAAAATTACTCCATTTACTAGACTCAGATGAATAGGCTTTATAAATCTAACCCAGAAAATTATACACACTACATATACAAGATGGCACAGCAAATACCAAAGGCCCTATTTTCTATAGACACGTAAATGTAACAAAAACATACAACAAAAATACATCTGAGGAAATGTATAAAAGAGTTAAGTGTGGGAAGTGCCCCAGCTGAGCACAACAGAGAGTGACAGAGGAGAAAAAGAAAAGTCTGTTACATTTACCCAGCACAGCTCTTCCTGCTCCCCAATATAACATAGTGCCTTTCTAAGTAAACTGCCAACTTTTGGCTTCTTTTTAAAAGACAAGTAAACTACTGCACATACATCTTTAGTACTTGCTTCTAAGGGCCTTTCTAGACACTGGTTTCTGGCTCCTATGACATATGGTGCTGAAAAAAACGGTGGTATACTTTGGAATGAGACAAAAGCTAAATGTTACAGCAGCAGAGAGACTGTAGTACCACACACACAAAAACAGGTGTACCCAGGGATTATTGACTATTCAGAAGAAACACAGACAGGCCAGATGTGATGGTTGATGCCTGTAATCACAGCACTTTGGGAGGACAAAGCTGGTGGATCACCTGAGGTCATGAGTTTGAGATGAGCCTGGCCAACATGGTGAAATCTGATCTCTACTTAAAAAAAACAACAGCCGGGCGCAGTGGCTCAAGCCTGTAATCCCAGCACTTTGGGAGGCCGAGGCAGGTGGATTACAAGGTCAAGAGATTGAGACCATCCTGGTCAACATGGTGAAACCCCGTCTCTATTCAAAATACAAAAAATTAGCTGGGCATGGTGGTGTGTGCCTGTAGTCCCAGCTACTCAGGAGGCTGAGGCAGGAGAATTGCCTGAACCCAGGAGGCGGAGGTTGCGGTGAGCCGAGATTGCACCATTGCACTCCAGCCTAGGTAACAAGAGTGAAACTCCGTCTCAAAAACAAAAAAACCAACAATAACAAAAACTAGCCAGGTGTTTAGGTGTGGTGGTTTGCACCTGTATTCCCAGTTGCTTGGGAGGCTGACGTGAAAGAATTGCTTTAACCCAGGAAGCAGAGGTTACAGTGAGATGGTGCCACTGCACTCCAGTCTGGGAGACAGAGCAAGACTCCATCTCAAAAAAAGTAAAGAAACATAAACTCTTTCTTTTTTTGAGATGGAGTTTCGCTCTTGTTACCCAGGCTGGAGTGCAATGGTGCGATCTCGGCTCACTGCAACCTCTACCTCCTGAGTTCAAGCAATTCTCTTATCTCAGCCTCCCAAGTAGCTGGGCCCATGCCCAGCTAATTTTTGTATTTTTAGTAGAGATGGGGTTTCACCTTGTTGATCAGGATGGTCTCGATCTCTTAACTTCCTGATCCACCCGCCTCGGCCTCCCAAAGTGCTGGGATTATAGGTGTGAGCCACTGCGCCCAGCCCAGAAACACAAACTCTTGTAACTAAAAAATAAACACAAAATTATAGAAAAGACACATTCTAGGAACATGTTTGAGAGACTCCTAGAATCTCTAACCAAGACAACTGATCAGACTATGCCAGGATAAAGTTTTCTCTAATGTCCAAATTTCAATAAAAGATTACAATGTATGCAAAATATGGTTATATGGTTTTATCAAAAATATTATAAAAGTTTCAGAGAAAAAACATAAAAAATGTATACATTGCCAGGTTTGGTGGCTTAGGCCTGTAATCCCAGTAATTTAGGCGGCCAAGGTGGGCAGATCAAAAGATCAAGAGATCCAGACCATCCTGGCCAAGACTGTAAAATCTTGTCTCTACTAAAAATACAAAAGTTAGCTGGGTGTGGTGACATATGCCTGTAATCCCAGCTACTTGGGGGGCTGAGGCAGGCAAATTACTTGAACCTAGGAGGTGGAGGTTGCAGTGAGCCAAGATCACACCACTGCACTCCTGCCTGGCAACAGAGCGAGACTCTGTCCAGAAAAAAAAAGTATACATTAATTTTAATAATGGAAAAGAAATTGAATAATAGTGAGTACAATAGAAACATACAGAATTACAGAAAGTCGGAAAAATGAGGATAAGAACAAAAATATGTAAAATTTAAAAAATTATGCAGATAAAAAATATCAAAAAGAGTAACAGCTGGGCGCGGTGGCTCAAGCCTGTAATCCCAGCACTTTGGGAGGCCAAGTCGGGTGGTCAAGAGAACAAGACCATCCTGGTCAACAAGGTGAAATCCCGTCTTTACCAAAAATACAAAAATTAGCTGGGCATGGTGGTGCGTGCCTGTAGTCCCAGCTACTTGGGAGGCTGAGGCAGGAGAATTGCTTGAACCCAGAAGGCGGAGGTTGTGGTGAGCCGAGATCGTGCCATTGCACTCCAGTGTGGGTAACAACAGCGAAACTCTGTCTCAAAAAAAAAAAAGAATAACTGAACCATCCTGAAAGAAAAAAATGACAAAAATGAAGCTCAGCACAAGAAACAATCAGAGTGAACTGGCAACCAACAGAATGGGAAAAAAACAATTTACAATCTACCCATCTGACAAAAAGCTAATATCCAGTATCTACACAAAGCTAAAACAGTTACAAGTGAAAAAACCAAACAACTCTATCAAAAAGTGAGTGAATGATATGAACAGACAGTTGAAAAGAGACATTTAAGCAGCCAACAAACATGAAAAAATGCTCGTCATCACTGGTTATTAGAGAGATGCAAATCAAAACCACGCCAGTCAGAATGGCGATCATTTGAAAATCTGGAGACAACAGATGCTGGAGAGGACGTGGAGAAATAGGAACACTTTTACACTGTTGGTGGGAGTGTAAAGTAGTCCAACCATTGTGGAAGACAGTGTGGCGATTCCCCAAGGACCTAGAAATAGAAATACGATTTGACCCAGCAATCCCATTATTGGGTATATTCCCAAAGGATTAGAAATCATTCTGTTATAAAGACACATGCACAGGCATGTTCACTGCAGCACTGTTTACAATAGCAAAGACTTGGAACCAACCCAAATGCCCCTAATTATAGACTGGATAAAGAAGATGTGACACATGCTGGGTGTGGTGGCTCATGCCTATAATCACAGCACTTTGGGACGCCAAGGTGGGCAGATCACAAAATCAGGAGTTCGAGATCGGCCTGACCAACATGGTGAAACCCTGTCTCTACTAAAAATACAAAAATTAGCTGGGTGTGGTGGCTCGAGCCTGTAATCCCAGCTACTCGGGAGGCTGAGATAGGAGAATTGATTGAACATGGGAGGTGGAGGTTCCAGTGAGCAGAGATTGCACCAATGAACTCTAGCCTGAGCGACAGAGTAACACTGCCTCTAAAAAAAAAAAAAAGAAAACATGGCACATATACCCCATGGAATACTACGCAACCATGAAAAAGAATGAGTTCAGGCCAGGCGTGGTGGCTCAAGCCTGTAATCCCAGCACTTTGGGAGGCCGAGGCGGGTGGATCACGAGGTCAAGAGATCAAGACCATCCTGGCCAACATGGTGAAATCCCATCTCTACGAAAAATACAAAAAATTAGCTGAGATTGTGCCATTGCACTCCAGCCTGGGTAACAAGCGAAACTCCGTCTCAAAAAAAAAAAAAAGAAAAGAAAAGAAAAGAAAAAAAGCATTATTATAATGGTGGAGAAAACATTTTTAATAATTCTCTAAAATTTGCAAGTTAAAAGCATAGAAATCTTATTTCCTATGATCCATGAAAAAATATATACAAAAAAAGAGATAAAAGGTTAAAAAATAAAAAGCATAGAAATCATTATAAATATCCTTTTTTTTTTTTTTTGAGACAGAGTTTCTCTCTTGTTACCCAGGCTGGAGTGCAATGGTGCGATCTTGGCTCACCGCAATGTCCGCCTCCTGGGTTCAGGCAATTCTCCTGCCTCAGTCTCCTGAGTAGCTGGGACTACAGGCACGCGCCACCATGCCCAACTACTTTTTTTTGGATTTTTAGTAGCCACGGGTTTCACCATGTTGACCAGGATGGTCTCGATCTCTTGACCTTGTGATCCACCTGCCTCGGCCTCCCAAAGTGCTGGGATTTGCTGCGCCTGGCCCGAACTCATTCTTTTTTATGGTTGCATAGTATTCCTTGGTGTATATGTGCCATTACAGGCATGAGCCACCGCGCCCAGCCTATGAATATCTCTTAATTAATATGTAACATAAAGATTTAATTTGAAATGTCAATGGCAAATTTGAGGGCAGATGTAATAAGAAAAAATTTTTGGAAGCAACTTAAGTTGTTTTTTTTTTACTTTTACTTTATTTATTTTTACCAGACTGAAATATGTTGTTGTATATTTTAGAGGTTTTATGTAATCCCCAGAGTAGCACAAAGAATATATTTGTATAGATACACGAATTACGAAGTAAAAGCACGTCAACATAGAAATTAACAAGATACAAATTAACAGAGAAAATGAGAGACAAAGATACAAGAATCAAATAAAACAATCAAATAACATTAATAAGTCTTTCTGGGCTGGGCGCGGTGGCTCAAGCCTGTAATCCCAGCACTTTGGGAGTCCGAGGCAGGTGGATCACGAGGTCAAGAGATTGAGACCATCCTGGTCAACATGGTGAAACCCCGTCTCTACTAAAAATACAAAAAATTAGCTGGGCATGGTGGCATGTGCCTGTAATCCCAGCTACTCAGGAGGCCGAGGCAGGAGAATTGCCTGAACCCAGGAGGCGGAGGTTGTGGTGCGCCGAGATCGCGCCATTGCACTCCAGCCTGGGTAACAAGAGCAAAACTCTGTCTCAGAAAAAAAAATAAAAAAATAAGTCTTTTTCAGAGTTTACATATCTTGGCCATTGTAACCTCTGCCTCCCAGGTTCAAGTGATTCTCCTGCTTTACCTCCTAAGTAGCTGGAACTATATAGGTACACACCACCACTCCCAGCCAATTTTTATATTTTTATTAGAAACAAGGTTTGGCCGGGCGCGGTGGCTCAAGCCTG